CACTTCACTTTCGATAATATTATTTATATATGTATAAATATATAATTAATATATATATATATATATATTCCTTTATAAATATATTATACTTGATATCTTTTACAGGAATTTTGCAACATACCAGAAAAAAAGAAAAGAAAAGAAAAAAAAAAGTAAAAAAGAAAGCGTCAGTAATTTCTAAATCGATAGACACCCTTGTTGGTCGGACCTGAATTTGCCTTGAATTGTATAGTTAACAAATACAGTCAGCATGTTTATTGTATATGTCGATAATATTCTATCAAATATGGAACTGCTTTTTATTCTGTCGATTATATGAATATAACAAAAAATAAATTGTGTTTTAAACTTCTTCGATATTGTGACTGGAACAAAAATATTACAAAAGATAAAAAATTAATTAAAAAGGGAGAAGAAAAAAAAAAAAAAAAGAAACAGAAGAAAGAAGGAGGGCATAACATTCTCCACAACTGGTTTTGTGGATTATTTCTTACGAATAATAATATCTATCATCTTGGTACGCGTACTACATTAATGTATCTTACATGTAATGTGTAATCTATATTTTTCTTGTAATGTATCCTTATCGTGATTTTATTCGAAATAAAAAATAAATTATTTACATGGTAATAGTTAATATATAATATTTATCAACGAAGGGGCATACATCTTTTCGCTGATATATCTTAATTGAAATAAGAAAGAAAAAGAAAAGGTATGGAGAATCACAATTTTTGTTTTTAATATATATTATAATCATTATAATAATATTAATAATAAATTAAACAATCAATTTGTGCTTTTTGATATTACGTAAACTATTAGAATTATATAACTATTAAAATTGAATATCACTTCGAATAATATTCGAGCTTAATATCATAATAGTATACTAATTAATTTACAAAAGATCATATCTCTATACGGAAATAGGAATTCGATTAAATATTATATTCTGTCTGAATGAACAATAAATTTATTATATCTGTCAAGCGTAATATCGTTAATATGAAAAACCATATAGTATAGAGAAAAATCTTTGAAATAATATATATGTATGTAGATTTATGCATATATATCTATATACACAATTTGATATTATTTCAAAGTTAAATAACTTAATAACAATAGAATTAAAATATAACGCATTTAATCAAATGTATTATTATTTTCTAAGTCTATCTATTGTAAGCCTGAAATTATTTTAAATCGTTAAAGAATTGACGTTTTTAATTAAATTATCGGTTTCGGTGATTTCGACAAAATCTTTTACCCCCTTAGGTCGAACAGCAAGACATATGCTTGCTCCATTTTCGTGCCATTTGGCTTTAAGTAACACGCTACATCCTTTTGCTATGACGCGAAAAATATATCAATCAGTAAAAAGAGATTTAATTAATTCAATTAATTAGTGAACAAAAATATTAACATACCAATTTGTCCTCGTTCATGAGCAGCAGCCAATTGATTGACTACACGTCTTTCAACTTCATATTTAATCGAACGTGCACCATAATGAGAATCATATCCATCAGCTAAAACTGATAACACATCTCTCTCCCACTTTAATTCGATCATGTGCTTTTCACGAGCACGTAAAGCCCATGTTTCTAATTCTCGTGCTACTAATTTTAATAATTCTATTCTTGAGAATGGCAAGAAATAAACTATTTCATTTATTCTACCCAAAAATTCGTCCCTTCGAAAATAAGCTTTCAATATAGGACGTACCTAAGAGAAAATAATCATTGTTTAATTAGAAATACACAAAATTATTTCGTAATTTTTCTTTCCTAATTAAAACATAGAAATTAATTGCGTTACCACTTCATCTTTAAAATTACGTGATATCTCAATACGTTCCGGTTCTTGATCTTCGTTAGAATTTTTATCAAGTCTTTGAGATAATAAACGATCTGCTTCTTCGCGAAGTTGTATAGCATATTCTGCGATCTCTTCGTTTGCTAAATTCGATGTCATTACAAAAATTGCATTTTTACATTCAATAGTTTTTCCTTTGCCGTCGGTTAATCTTCCCTATTAAATTATAGTAAATGGTAATTATAAACTAATTTTTAATATTTAATTAAATCAATAAAAATATATTTATCTATTAATATATACCTCATCAAAAAGTTGTAATAATACTGTTAACACATCAGGATGTGCTTTATCAACTTCATCAAACAATACAACGGCATTAGGACATTTTTTTAATAACTTTGTTAACTGACCACCATTTTCGTGTCCTACATATCTAGAAAATAAAATATAACATCAAAATTAAATTATCTATGCAGATTAGAATATAATATAGACATACCCTGGTGGTGCGCCAATTAATTTAGCAATTTCATGTTTCTGTTGATACTCAGACATATCCAAACGAATAAAACCATCCTTTTTATTTTTATGAATGTATCCTGCTAATTGTTTAGCTAACTCAGTTTTCCCAATTCCAGATGAACCGAGGAATAAGAATACCAATGGATGTTCCTCATCTATCCAACCATTTTCTTTTCTCCTAATAGCTTAATAAAATCATATGTATTTTAAACATTTGTTTATAAAATATATATTCTATATAAATGAAGTAATTAAATTCAACTTACTAGAAGCAACGATTGAAATTGGTCCTTCTTGTCCAACGATATGTTGTTTAAGACGTTGTTCCAATGGAAATCTACGCCGTTCTTCAGCTTCCTACAATTAATGATCCACAAATTATGGGTAGAATTTCCAAAATTCTCTCAAAAGAAAAGAAATATCAAGTAACATAGAATAATTATGATTATTTTTGTTTAGAATTATATACATACTTTCTCTTTAGAAATCTCATCAAACTTAGAAGCATAGTCAGTTAACATTTCTTTAATGTCTGCTTCTTTCGTATATTCTACTGGTCTATGTCCTGCATCATTTTCAATGGTAGGATTTGCTCCTGCATCTAGTAACGCTTTAATGCAACTTCTAGAATTTGCTAGAACAGCATAATGTAATGCTGTGAAACCATGAAATGTAGCTTTACTGTTTAATCCATCAAAGAATTCGTTCGACCTTATCTGAAGTACTACAAATTATTTTAAATACATTAAAAATACAATTCATTCTTCATTTTTATCACAATTACTAATAATTCATTTTATTAAAAATACCTTCTATACTATGAAAGCCTTTCTGCATAGCAGTTTTATATACATTAATAAAATTATCTCCTGCATTTAGATCAGCACCCTTTTCTATTAAAATTTTAACTACGTCAACCTTTCCATTCATCGCTGCTGCCTGTAAAGCAGTCCAGCCCATGTGATGCCTTGCATTCACATCGATACCATCTGATAATGCCTATAAAATAAAATACAATGAAATAACTCTGCTTGTATAGCCTGCACATAATCAAAAATTCATTTACGTACTCTTGTGAGTTCTGGTACATTGCCATATTGTGCAGCACGAAAGAAACGCTTTTCTACAACATATAAATTGTATATAAATATTAGTAAAAAAAAAAATATTTAGTAGAATATATTATATAGATAAGTACCATTTAATATTTTACCTGTGGTATAATCTGGTATATCACAGAAAGCTGTAACAAGACTAATACCACTTAATATCAATGCTAAATTTTTATAATGCTTTTGATTACTATTATTGCTTCTTATTCTGAATGGGCCACTTAAATATTTAAAAACTGATGGACTACATGTTGTACAGAATACATTTATCAATTTGAATAATGGATAAGTCTGTTTTTTTAGGATGTAATTAAATTGTCCATAACCTCTATCATACTGACAGAAGATATCTCGGATTATACCATTTTTTCTAAGTTTTATATAATTTAATATTAATTCCATATGCCTAGAATTCCTCATGGTAAGATATAATTTCAAATTATACCACCGTAACATTTTTTAAATATTAATTTTTTTTTTTAAGTTTTACACATTATATTCCTTTTGCAAAATATATATTGTAATATTCACTATTATTTCGTATTCATTTGAAACGACTGATAAACTCGTTTCCAAACAATATTATAATTGCTTATCTTGATGTAATTAATGTTTATATTTTTTATACGCATTAAAAGAAACATTTACTTCTGTCAAACGTATTTATATAGATGTGATCTAAACGAATAGTTTATAAGAAAAGCCACGGGTTTTTTTAGTAATATAATATATAGTAATAAACAAATTGTTGTAAAAATTACAAAGACAATTTATCATTCGGATATTAAATAGACGTTAATCGTAAAAGAAAAAAGAATAATATCAATTAATTGCGTAATATTCAACGAAAATTTGATCGATCTAATCATACGATCTTGAAATGCGAAATATTAAATCATATCAGAAAAATCGAATAATTATCTAAAATAATAATAACATCGTGAATTTTGAAATAAAAGAGTATCCTATAGTATTAAATAAGACATATACAACGCGTATAGCATCATTGAGAAACGTTCGAAGGACGAAGGAATGACAATAATTTTGAAAATTAATTAATGATGCCATTTTGTTTATCCTAGCCAATCATATTAAGCCAGCGCAGTGACGAAAAATTCAAATATTTTCTCTTTTAATAAATCAAGGTTATTGGAATAATTCTAACAAATTTAAACCATGTTTGATTATCGTTAAAAATTATGAAAATAATTGTATTAAATATATCTCTAAAAAAGTCGATAATTTTTTATAAAATTCCAAGGATTCGGATTAATTCTGATTGTTCGAGAAAATACGCGTGCAAAGTATGTATGTGTTTTGTAATGCGGAAAGGTATTATATCGAAGATTCCAGAATATTCCAGAAGAAACTATCGACCAATCAGAAAGCGTATAACTAGCGCCATGGTGTTTCAGCGGGGAATAGCAGAAAGTTCTACATCGTTAGAGTCATGGTCTAAAGGATCCTCTCTTTCAGTTTATCGTATGCAACCGGAGCAAGCGGAAGGTTTTTTCGTGAAAGTTGTGTTGCTTTATCAACGTAATTAGAGACTCCGAAATTTTCATCGAACGATCTTATCCGATTTACATTTCATCTTTCTTTAACTAAATCATCGATTATCGTGAATAAACGAGTGATTAAAAATATCTTGAATAAATTCTAATCGATAGTAATTCGTGTTACACAGTGTCGTTAGGAGAACATCGTAATAAAAATCAAAGAAATCAGCCATGGCTGCTATGTCCGTGATCGGGATCGACTTCGGAAATGAGAGCTGTTATGTCGCCGTAGCAAGAGCGGGAGGTATCGAGACTATAGCTAACGATTATAGTCTGCGTAACACACCGTAAGTTTCATCATTCTTATCAATAAATTCTTTGTCATTTTCTTTTTCATTATTCTTTCTCTTTCTCTCTTTTTCCCTTCCTCCCTATCATCTATCTTTCTCTCTCTCTCTCTCTCTCTCTTCCTCCCCCCCCCCCCCTCTCTCTCTTTCTCTCTCTCTCTCTTTTTCTTTCTCTTTCTTTCTTTCTTTCTTTCTCGTCATTAAAAAAGACCGCTGGATTGCAAACATGCCGGTACTTTTTTAATTCATCGATTTTTTTTATCTTTCTATAATTGTAAAAATATCTGAAAGGTGTTTTCTTTCATCTAATCGTCGTGAAAAAAAAGAAGATCCATGAGTAGTGCTCCGTCATCTAATACCAAAAATGGTCAAACGTCGAATTAAGTTTTTGATCGACGCCTATAATTCGCTAACGATTTTCTTCTTTTATGGTTTCGATAGAAATCGTCTATAATAATTGTCTATTTTATTTTTTATTTTTTTTTTATTTTTTTATTAAGATAATTTCTTTTTTTTTTTAAATCTCTATTCAATTATTTGTAGGTGTACTCACCTTTAATATTTGTTACTTGTAATCATTGATTTATTGATCATCCGATATGATGTTCTTGCATCGTAACGATCCACTTATATTCTTTTTTATTTAAATAAATAATCAAAAAGAAAAAAAGGAATTACTTTAGATTATTATTTGATTTTTCACGTGTATTTTGAAATCTAAAAATTATAAATAACAGAAATGAATTTATTACATGTTATTATTGGTATACTATTATTCATATGTAATATAATGGTAACACTTATAATATGATGAAGTAAATCTATGAGAACAAATGTATATAACTATGTAGAAAAAAACGTTGATTACTTCTTGCACAGCATGTACATAAGTGTTTTTTCGCAGTGGTTATTATGATTATCACATACATCATACTATTCATTTTCTAGAAGAAACATTATTGATCCGGCGATGGAAAGAATTCTTTAAAATTAAAACAAGAATTGCATTAGTTCGTCGAATAATTTTTATTTAAAAAATTATATATCTAACTTGTGTTAAATCTATTAATCTATTATTATCTTTATCATTCATTAATTATCCTTATTTAAATCTTTAATGGTTTTTTTTTCTTTTTTCTTTTTTTTTTTTTAATCTCTCACACAGATCATGCGTAGCATTCAGTGGAAAAAACCGTGTGCTTGGTGTAGCTGCAAAAAATCAAATGGTAACCAACATGAAGAATACCATTTATGGATTCAAGAGGCTTTTAGGTAGAGAATATTCAGATCCCCAAGTACAACGTGAACTTAAATGTTTGTCATTTAAAACCTCCCCACAGAAAGATGGTGGTATTGGAATACATGTAAGTTTGGTGGTGGTTTAAGATTGTGAAAAATAAGTTCATTCATTCCAATAAATTATTATTTCTCATTATTGTATATATATATATAATTGTAAAGTTAAATTGTTCTATTAAAGTCTATTTGATAGTTTTTTGGAATGAAGAATGAGAATTAATAGGAACTTTGCCAAGAATTCAATAGTTTATGAAGGCTGACATTTTATTTATATCAATTTAACATATATTATGCACGAGATGAATCAGAATTTTCATTCAATTTATAAACCTCGCGAGAAAATTTGTGTATCTTAATATAAATTGAATATAATATAATAAATATAAATATTTAATAAAAATTCTTATTATCTCTGAACGTTTGCTTATAGATATTATGTTATATTACGTTATTTACAGGTACAATATTTAGGAGAAGAACATATTTTTTCACCAGAACAAATAACAGCTATGTTATTCACAAAATTGAAAGACACTTCTGAAACAGCACTTCAGACGGCAGTTAATGATTGTGTCATATCTGTACCATCATATTATACACAAGCTGAAAGGCAAGCTTTGCTCGATGCTGCACGTATTGCAGGCCTAAATGTTCTAAGATTGTTTAATGAAACAACTGCCACTGCTTTAACTTATGGTATTTATAAACAAGATTTACCAGCTCCCGAAGCGGCACCAAGAAATGTAGTATTCGTCGATTGTGGTTATGCTAGTTTACAAGTGTGTATTTGCGCTTTTCATAAAGGAAAACTCAAGGTCTGTATTGTATTATTTCTTATTTGTTCGTTCAATACATTACCAAGTTATTCAATACATTAACAATGAATTAATATTTTATTTACAGATGTTAGCTAGTGCAGCTGATAGTAATTTGGGTGGTAGAGACATAGATACTATCTTAGCGGAACATTTTTGTAAAGATTTTCAATCTCGATATCGCATAGATCCGCACACAAATCCGCGGGCGTACTTAAGGTTACTTGCCGAAGTAGAAAAATTGAAGAAACAAATGTCAGCTAATTCTACTACTCTTCCACTTAATATCGAATGTTTTATGGAAGAAAAAGACGTTCATGGGGAGATGAAACGAGCGGATATGGAAGCAATGTGTGCTCATATGTTCAAACGTGTTGAATCAACTCTTAGGCAGTGTTTAACAGATTCAAGTAAATATTTTCTAAATAATATTAATTTTTATTCCCCAAATAAACACAATGTAACATACAATCATTAATATTTTATTATAGAATTATCATTAGAAGAAATACATTCAGTAGAGATAGCTGGTGGATCTAGTCGTGTTCCTGCGTTAAAACGTGTAGTCGAAGAAGTATTTGGTCGGCCGATATCAACGACATTAAATCAAGATGAGGCTGTTGCTCGTGGTTGTGCATTACAATGTGCAATGCTTAGCCCTGCAGTTAGAGTCAGAGATTTTTCGGTCACTGATATACAACCGTATCCATTAAAATTGACATGGGATCCTACTCAAGGAGAAGAAGGGTAAATAATCCTAATTACATAATGAATACTTGACAATGAATATATTTACAAGTATTTTAATTTGTTGTATTATGCATTAAATAGAGAAATGGAAGTGTTTGGATATAATCATCCTATCCCATTCTCAAAAATGTTAACATTCTATCGTTCAAGTCCATTTAAGCTTACTGCTAGCTACAGTATGCCTCCATCATCATATCCTTCAACATATGTTGGTATGGATTTATACGTTAGAAAATTTAATAATTAAAACAAAGGAAAAGTCTTCTCATTTTTTATCTGTCATTCTTCTTAGGTATATTTTCCATTAAAAATGTTAAACCAACACCAGAAGGCGAGGCATCGAAAGTTAAGGTAAAAGTGCGAATAAATCTCAATGGTATTCTTACTATTGCGTCTGCATCGCTTGTGGAAAAACGTGAGCCAACGCAGCAGGAAAAAGAAGAAGAAGAGAAACTATTGCAACAACAACAACAGCAACAAAATAATATGGACGTCGAACAGGATAATAAGAAAGATAAATCTGATCAAGAAGCACAAGCAAACGAACCACCAGCACCTGAGGTATTTATGTTTATTATCTGTATGATTTTTTTTTCTCTTATTGAATTCTATTGAATACAATAATAATAATATTGAAATTATATAGCAATGATATAACCATATAATATTTGTTCATTCGGTATTATTAGCAGGGTGCGAAAAATCACATTCAGTAACTAAACTATAAATATCTTCAGATGCATGATTACGTGAGTTTGTTGTGGTTTAGGTGAGCATGGATAAGACTCGAAGGAACTCAGATGCTGATGATGGTGGAAAAGGTGTTAGGGGTTCTGCCCCTTCATGCTCCTCGAGGATTCTCTCTTGGTTCAGCTCGGTACGCGACACACTACCTCTACTTGGACCCATACGCATAGATTTCTTCAGCGATTATTATGCTGATTTTATTTCTTACATTTGCTTTAATTAGGCCATTATGTCGTCGTCGTATCAATTTATGAGTCCGTGACTATCCTTTTATTCATAAATATCAACGACATTGACTGTCTTTTGTATTATTAAATTCTTTACATAGGATCCATCGTTTGTATTTTAAAACGCGATTTGGTTTATCATTTTAGATTGCAATAATGAGAAAAGTTTCTGCACGTATTTTATTAACCTGAAAAATATTTCCTTTCAATTTCTTCAATACTTGAAACAAATCTCATACTTTTCATATTTGCTATGCAACAAAATATTGTCGATGTCATCTTTCATGTTGTACACGTGTAGTTGAATACGTCGACAAATTTAGATATCACCTTCGAATCAGTCGCACTAAATCCATGTATAACTTTCTATGTTGTGTATATATTTAACGAGTATTAGGATAGAACTATATATGTATATATATATATATTTATATTTATTATTTATTATTTATTATTACGACAAAAAGCACACTTGCATGAAAAATCAGATGCATATTAAAATCCTGAAGCTCTGTGTCGATTTCTTCTGCAATCTCGACCACTTAAGGATTATTTCTGGTGGCCATATCTCCATTCTTTAGTCGGCATGGAGTATTAGTAAAAATGTTTTAATAATTCCAGATTTATCTATACTAAAAGTGAGAGTATGTAGTGCATATGGGTCCAAGATACAGCTGTGTCATGCCGTGCTGTCTGTTTTTGCTCTGCTATTCTTTAAACTGGGTCGCAGAAGGAAAAGGGACAGTGATCTCTCTTCATATAACTGCCATCTTGTAGTTCTGCGAAATATTATTATTAGTTGTAAAGGCAGGCAATGTGGATTCAGTTTTCTATTCGTACTAATCATTCATATAATAATTAAATATTTATTTCTAAGAGGAATACATTTCTTAACATATTCTCTTATTAAAATTATTTCACAGAGAAAATGAAACGGTACGAATTGTAAACTATACGCATAAAAACTTGTCCTTGTGTTAATCTTTAACAACCGTCAATGCCTGATTTCCAACTCGAATCCTCTTATCCTTGCCTAAGCTTTATTTATATATATATACTTTTTACTTTGTTATGTTTTGCTCCTTTACTATAAGTTTAATATATACTAATGAGTCAGAATCTAAAAAAAGAACAAAAAAAAAGTTACAAGAAAGCAATGTAGTTACAGCAAAGGTAAGTCGAAAGAAAATAAAAAAAGAGTTCTACGTTTAAAAAGAAACGAAGCTTTCTTGTAAATGTTCTTTTTAACATAAATACTAAATAAATACTATCGTGATCTATTTTTTATTTATTGCAAGTGTAAATATATATATATATATAAAAAAAACAAAAGATAAAGAAACAATTATCGTATAATTAACAGAAAATTTAATGTTTCAGGGTGAAGATAAAGGAGAAGATGCTAAAGGCAAGAAAAAAGTTCCTGTACGGACAATTGAATTACCAATCGAGGCAAATGTCAATGGACTCTCTCAAAGAGAATTAGATATGGCTTTAGAAAAAGAGGTATTATTATTTTTCTCTTTTATATAAAATTGAATGAAAATCTTTGCTGCTGTATTAATCTAATTTTCTGAAGTTTTGAAATTTGTATTTATATTTGTAAATAATATTATAGTGTAAAATGATAGCTGAAGATAGACAGGAGAACGAACGTATTGATGCACGTAATGCATTAGAAGAATACGTTTATGATTTACGTTCTAAATTGACCGACGATTGTCAGTTGGCTACATACGTTACGGAAAATGACAAAGATTCGCTTTGCCGTATGTTAGATGAAACTGAAGTTTGGCTTTATGAGGAAGGAGAGGATTGTCAGCGACAAATTTATATAGATCGTCTAACACGTTTAAAGGTAAATGATAATATATGATTATAACACAATGTAGACAATATATTAATAATTAATAATTATCAATTTTTAATAGGCACAAGGTGAGCCAATAAAAGAAAGGAGACGAGAATTGGAGGGAAGAGGTCATGCATTAGAGGAACTAGCAGGTGCATTACAAATTGCTAAAAAAGGATTAGATAACATTAAGGCTTCCTTTGGGAAGGACGATAAGTATTCTCATCTAACTGATGATGAAATAAAAAAGGTCGAGAAAATAGTGCAAGAAAAGTGGGCTTGGTTAGAAGAGAAACTTGTAGTAATTGCAAGTACTCCGCGTACGCAACCACCACCAATAACAGTATCTCAAATACGTTCGGAGAAACAGGTATATTTTTTATATATTCGATTGTATTATATATTATTTGGAGATATTAATGTCAAATGTGTATTTATTGATATTTTTATTATTTATGATTACATAGGCATTAGATAGCGTTGTATTGCCAGTTTTGAATAAACCTAAACCTAAGGTAGAACCTCCTAAAGAGGACAAACCAAAGGACAAAACTGCTAATGATCAAAAGAGTTCTAATCAGAATAGTCAGGGTGATTCTCATATGCAAAATAATCAACCACAAACCGAAGATGATAAGATGGATATTGAGTAACAGTCGTCTCAATTTATGTTTTTTTAATATTATCAAATTTACCAAGGATTGAGAAATGGTGAATATTTCATTATGAAATTATCTTCATCATTGTCACACAAGCGCCTGATATGACTTAGTTAGACAGCACACGTTGTTTTTCTATTTCTCTCTCATTCTGACTGTCTATCTGTCTCTCTCTATCTCTCTATTTTTTTTTTTTTATTTCCCTTTAATCATTATCAATCTGATAAATTTCCTAGTTCGTTGAGCGATCGTTTGTTATTTAAAAGTGGGTGTCTTGGAAATACAAAAAAAAAAGTAAAGTACACACACGATAAGAATAACTTTAGTAATTACACAATGAATTTATTCGTACTATCATGTGTCATTCATAGTATATTGTAATATATATAAATATATACCTAACAAATGTGTAATATGTGTGTACAGGGTAGGCCAATTAAATTATTAAAAATAATTAATACAAATTAATTCATCGCTTATCTTCTATGGATTCGATTCGAAGAAATAGAATTTCATCCTGTACACATGTATCATCTTTTGCGTACATATTGCGACATATTTTAAGTGATGTATTAAAAAACAAATTTATGAGAGATTTATTATATGATTAATAAATTTCCAAGACACAATTTAATGAAGGAAAATTGCTATGTCAGTAAGATATAATCTAAAAAAAGAAAAAAAAGAGACTCTCTAAGTGTTCTCTGAAATGCCAGTAAAAATGTTTAACATTAAGTTAAATTTAAAAATGTGAACTAAAGAAAATTGTGAAGTAGTAGAAAACATCGCTGGCGATCTTATGTATTTAAAAAAAAATAACATAATATTGTTCATTCCATCGTTTTCGAAAAAGCGGACAGTTAACAAAAAATCTACTGTCAAACAAATTTATGTTGCATTTATGATACTTAAATAAATTAATGTTTCGTTTATTAAGTTCACCAAGCCTGCAAATAGTAGTTACATTGAGTAAGTATTAAGCAGCTATGTAGCTTTTTGAAAGCTACAATCTTTCTTAAGGAAAAAATGCAAAGAAGTACATTGAGGAAAAAAGGACTGTTGTTATTTTCATTAATTTTCATAATGAAAATTGAGCTTTCAATACCGAAATAGTAAATTTCTAGTTCCTAGTTAATTAGATATACTTGTAATTTTACATAGTGACAATGTGTATATAATTAATAAGCTTTGGTACATTTCAGCCATTCTAATTTTCATTATTATTGAGTTTAACGTATGTGTAATACCTCTCGATTTCTGGTCACAGCGAGGCATGCAACATGTTTGTTTTATTTTTATTTAAATTGAAAAAAATGATGCCTTCACGTAATTACTATATATTGATTATAATAACACCACTATTATTTATGCTTGATTTAAATAAAGAACAAAATTAAATAAAGAATACACAGGTATTTGTTGTCAATATATTATATTCAATAATAGTAATCTAATTTTTTGTTCATTTTTGTAACACATATATTAGACGAGAATGGAAAATTTATTAAAATTAAATCATCAAAGTCATCTACTTCCAATAGTTATATCATCATAAAAAAATATATAATAATTGAAAATTCGATAGGAATGTTCATTATCCATTTTTTAACTTTTTTTTTGTCATACAAATGATATTAATTTTTGCTATGTCGTGCAACACACCCACGTATATCTTATATAATTACAATACTTTATATATTAAATATCATCAAAGCTTATGTAATTTATATATATTACAATTATACAAGCAAACCACATTTTTTTTATTTCAATAATGTCTTGATGACTGATTAAATGTAGATGAAAATTATGGAAGTGTACTGAACTGCACGTGTAGACTAATAAAATTAATTAATCTTTCTTGACTTCTGTTTTGGACCGTTCATCAAAATATGCTCTGTATATAAATGCTGCCAATGCGATATGTAAGACCACGATTGCAACCCCTGCCGAATATACATTGCTCGATATGCTATTTTTTCCCAATAATCCTGTAAGAGCATACAAATTATTTATTAGAAAGTAATCCTCAATTGATAAAGAATTGTTAATGCAGAAAAACGAGTATATGAAACATATTCAATTATTACCATCAAATATAAAGATTTTACTCATAAAAAACGATAGCACAGGAAATGCTATTATTATTAAACAGTGAAACAATACTGTTTTAAAAACTTGCAATTCTGGTAATTCCTAAAACAGGTAATTATTAATCAATTGTGTCAAATTTTGCTAATATTATTTAGACTTTTCTATTATGACACTTACTTTTGTATTCGCCATAATATAAATAATATATTTTCAATATAAATTATACAAAAGAAGAGATAAATGAAAAGGTTAAATAAAAGCACTTTGATCTATATATTTTACATTAACTAAAGCATAGTATTAAATAATACTGCATTTAAGTACATAACCGTAAAAAGCAAACACAATCAAATTGATATTGATTAAATTTGTAAAAACAATTGTATATTATATATTATATTTGTTTGTAAATTATTTACTATTAAACATGACAAAACCGGCTTAACAATAAACTGTAAAATAGCTAACTGTATTTATGTCACAATGATTTTACTATTAGGGTTATCACGTGCATACAGTTTAGCCAACATTGTGAACGGTAGCGTCAAATTTAAATATTTAATACGAGAAATAATTTCAATTTACATAATCGCAACGACAATAAAATTATAATAAATAAATTATTGCAAATATATAATAAATAAGATTTTATATATAATATTAATATAAGACAAAGGGAATTATCTATCATTTTTCTTGTCTGACATAAATTTTAATCTATATATGCAGAAAAAAAACATTTCATCAATTTTAAAATATATGAACAATTATTATTATTAATTTAATTCTCACATATATATAAATATGTGTAATTATATAAAATATTTTATTTCGAAAGAATAATCGATATACATGAATTATTATATCGATATATCGATTGTTTAGGAGACCAATTGTGATTGGTCTATTTCATGTAATGCGTCAACGACAAAAATGGCGGTGAATGTAAGAATCGTGAAGAATTCAAGTTAAAGTTTTATAAATAATTTCTTATTTTATTCACGTCCAAAACACTTTAATTTAAATATATATTACAAAATGAAACTTCCAGTAACAAAATAAATATCAAAAGTATATAATTCAACATATATAAGTACGATAAATGGAAAGAATGTATTGAGGTTAATCGAAAGCGCGCGTAACGATCTACGTTCCTGATTTAACGATAACTGTTGCGTTAAACTAGTTAAATGATCCTTCACTGTGTTCGGAGTCCTGATTGAATCACTGATTACAGTGCATTCTAAAAATAGAATAGCAGTCTTAGAATGAAGTAAGAATACAATTTAAGATTATTAAACATCGACGTATTATTTTCAGACGTAAATAGAAAAAATAAATATTTTTATTAAGCAAAATAGAAGTTCCTCGTCAAGTTTACTATACATGAATTTGTATATATATAACAAACATTTCTCAATTCAAAATTAGAATATTAATTAGATGATGGTTTACATCTTAACAGAATTTTGTATTATTTATTTTTAATATGTTATATATATATATATATATATTTCATAATTATGTGGTTGCAACAATTTTTAATTCTAACCATATTTGTTAAATAAATTTACAGCTATCTTTCTGTGTGAAAAAATCTATGAGGGCAAGTTCACACAATACTCACCGGCAGGTGCGAGTGTACCCAAGAGCGCGTAATCCAAATGCTAATGAATTCATTACAGGTAAAGAATTAATTTTACGATTTCTGGTTACAATGACGTCATTCTTCCACATGCATATAATTAAACATTTCCGTTTATTGATTATTTTCTTTCACATATTGTTTATAGAGAATCATTACAAAAGAAGAAAAATAAATCAGAGGATTTAACTGTGTGGTAAAGAGAATTGTATAATAGCTAAGAAGTAAGTATAGACAATAATCAATAGATTTTTATTACTATTGTGAAGATGATGATAATAATAGCATAAGGGACGTGGAATATAGTTTTATGATTTACGATCGTTAATGGGTATCATAAATGTTTTCGACAGGTATCACACGAGGTGGTTTAAGCATCAATCCGAAAGCCCTTGCCATAAATTTCCCTGGAAAATCCTGACCCTTCACGCGCAGGAGCATACCATGCAATTATGTGTATGTATGCATCTGACACCACATAGAAACATAATGTAAATATACATATGTAAACGAATTATTGATTAATTATCGAATGTGAATAGCAATTACGAAAGTAACCTAAGTTATTGATAATAGATATTATTTACAATCTTGGATCATACTTTCTTAATTACATTGATAGATGTTTAGACGTGTTCAAATTGATGAAATATTTGTATTGTAGGTCTCTCGGATTTTTAAACGATATTAAGAAAAATCTTATTGTCCTTTCGAATCCGGAGTCGATCGTTACGTTAGAAAGAGGTCATTGAACTCGGAAGATCGAGCCACCCGTTCTCTGAGCTCGATGTACGGGTCAAGACGAAAGAGAGAGTAGGAAAAATGGGTGGTAGGAGTAACGAAGAGGAGGAGAACGAGGAATAAAATGAAAAAAAAAAAAAAAGAAACAAAAACCAAAAAAAAGGAAACGAAGTTATGAAAAGCTAAGCCCGGTCAGTGTGGTGTGGTGGTGGAAGGAGTGCTTGATAAAGTAAGCAAAATTAAATAATTACAAAAACTAATTGGTAAAATAAAAAAGTAAGGAGGAATCTTCCTCGATAAGTCTAAACTATCTAGTTGGATAGCTAAATGCCTTTGCTAACTGATGATGGAACATAGCAAAAGTATAATCTAGGAAGTTAGAGGAGCGTAACTCGCATTGACGTTTACCACGCGGAGAAGAGCCGTGTACGAGAGACCAGCCAGGGAGTTAGAGTAACAGAGAGGGAGTGAGAAAGATAGAGGAAGAGGGGGAAGGCTCGTGTACAAACCGGGACGGGGACGCAACAGTCGCTCGGCGCACTTTGTGCTGGAATCATCGACGACGATGCCACTCTTAGATAATAGATCTGACGTTTCGTGATTATTCCTATATTAATTATTACCATCATTCACACTGATATCATTCGTTCATTCCCTTTCCATTATTTTACTATCATTTTCATAACAATCACGTCTACCTTCATTATCGTGTTACCACTTGAATCGTGAACCAGGAAGGCAAGAGCACCGTTTCCCCCCCATTCATCAAACCTTTCGTTCAGGTAAGCCGTTACTTTAATCCTTTCTTAATTTGTTTGTTTTCTTTTTTGATTTTCGTAGGATAAATCTTTCCAGTCTGTCATAGTTTCTCCAAGGAATGTGAAATCATTCACTTTCATTGTCGTTATTCGTTTATTATCGCATATATATATACGTTTAGTTCTAATACTAGATTAGGATCATTCCTCTTCCTCTTCCTCCACCTCCACCTCCATCTCTTCTTCCCTATTACTACTAATACTACTACTACCACTATCATCACCACACAACCACCACCACCACCACCACCACCACTACTACTACCACCACCTACCCTTCGTTCCAGTTCGAACTGCGTGACCTCCTTTTCGAGCCGAATCGTCAGCAATTGTTTTTAACGGACGACATCCTCCTGGCCTAACCGGAGTTTCGGTTCGACGAGGAACCCTTTTTTCCCTCTTCTTCCTTCTAAAGTATTTCTTTTTTATTTATTAGTTGTTTACACACACACACACCGAGTTTTTTTTCATGATTTCTTTAGATCTTTTTTTACTTACATTTTCTTTCAATATTGCTTTTCTCTTAGTAATACCTACCATCGTCGATCGAACGTTCTATTCTCGTGCGAATATAAACAATACGATCAACGATCTTGATACTCAAGAGATTTATCTTTCAAGATAAATTGAAAATATTGAACGCGTAAACGAAGAGGGAATCATTCTAATTATAAGAATGTGATACATTTGTAATACTTCAACATTGTAAGTGAGGATATATAATGCAGGGATTTTAAAATTTAATGAAATATTTGATGAGAGAGAAAGAGAGTAAGGAAAAAGTAATTTCTTTTGATGAAATTTATCGAACGTATTATCGTTACATCTTCTCTCCCGACGATAGATTCTATAATCAAGCAAGGAGATAAATATTGTATACGTGACGTCGTTATAACACGTATACTTTCATTTTTCTCTCGAGCGTACATACTATTCAATGACCCGTTTATCCTGTAATGATGATATCGCGTGATGGTTCCACGCGTACGGAAATAAAAAAAACAATAAGTTGAGTTATCCGGCAACTATACTCCTACGCATTCACGAATAAATGATATATTGTAACCGATTAACAAAAGGATAATCATATTATTTTGCATACTTGTTATCATTTTATCTATTTTATTTTTTGTTTTTTTTTTTGTTTTAATAATATTATTATTATATTTTGTTCTATTTTTCTTCCCTCATACTTATCTCAAATTTAATCAAATAATTATTGCTAATGATAGAATATGTGGGAAAATTCTTATAGTTCTTAAATGTAAAGGTGAAATTCACAGTGCCGTTCTTTGGCTTCTTCTCCGCGGAAGAATCGTGAGTGACCTTTGAGATTACGTATCGACCGAATGGAGTGTGTACCATTCCGTTCCATCGGTTCAACCAAGATTGAATACAAAAACGTTCGTGGAATTGTTCTTACTATATCAATCGTATCGTATCGATAATTGACAACGAAATCGCGGGATTATATGATAGATTGAAAGAAATACATTATTATTATTATTATTATTATTGTTTGTTCCGCTTGGTTAAATTATTTCAATATAGGAAAATAAAATGTGATGATCACAAATCAATTTGATTTGAAATAAAATACATTTTATTATATATATANATGTATACAATATATACAAATTTAAGACCAAACGTATTAGATAAAAAATTAGTGTATAATGATTTGCATGAGTATGAAGCGTCTCTCCAAGTCGATAGAATATCTATTTATTTTTATTAAATAAAACATTTCTTTTTTTTTACCGAAAGGTTCTATTGCAATAAAATGATCAATTGTAAATTTTAATGCGCATTATAGTAAGCATTGATTTTGTGCTTCATAATATGGATATATCTCATGAATATTAATTAATCTTGCTAAAAATGCAAAACAAAAGAATTTGTTTTATATCTTTAAACAGAATATATGATTGTAAAATATTTCCAACTTACCACGCAACCATTATTTTAAGAGCATTCACTGAAAGTTTTCTCTTTTCTTCCCATATAGAATAATCAGGGAAGAAAAAATATATATATACTAATATTAAAAATTCAAATATTGTTATTATATCCTTGCCGAGATTATAAATAGACAACGTGGATGCAATTAAAACGAAACGTTAAAAAAAAATCTTAATTTGTGAAAAATAATATTAACGACGTTCTCTCGAATTAATTTTTTTTATCACATAAAAAATGTAACCCAATCAAATTAACTAACTTGTTGAATTTAGAAACGGGCGATAACTATATTTAATTATATATTTTTCTTTTTACTTAAAACAAACTAAAAACATTTATATTTCTTCACGAAATTTAAACTTACTTCATTGATTGATTCGCTCAAAATTATAGATCTTGTTAAAATATTAGTGAAATATTTATGTTACTTCGATTAGAAAAAGTCATACGTTTTCCTGTAAACAAGTAAAGAACTTACTTAATTAAAAATATCGCATTCGTTGAAGGAGACTCGCACTTTGGATCACTCATCAATATATACATTATATATATATATATATATATATATATATATATATATTGCGTATAGATAAATAAATTGATCATTTAATATTTATATATATCGTGTGTTAAAATAATTTTAGATATTATTTGAACTTGTGTTACGTGTGCACGATTGATTGTATTTATGTATGTATAGAGATCAATCGATAATTGAATGAAAAGGGAAAACGATTGAATGATTTAAATTTTTAATTAAAAAATATCGAACAATTTATTAACGCATGCGATATTTCGTGTTTAACAGTCGTCGTCGTCGTCTCGGTTGGTATATCTTATTTATATACTAAACTTCGTGTCGATAAAAAATGTAATTAACCATTCATTTAATTACTTTCATAATAAGTCATCGTGTGTGTATTATTAAAAAAGGAATCTTATTTGATTATCTTATTAATTAGATCTAAAAATTCAATGTAAAAATATTTTCATTAGGTTCAACCTAATTCAATACTTAAGGAATTGAAAACATTGCGTGATGGGTTACTAGTTTAAAATAATATTTTCTAATCGAGTAACTTATGTACATGCACGAAACAAGGTCGTTTCTAAACGTTTCGCGTACGAATAAATTCAAACGGAAATCCAAAAAAAGACTTTCTTTTCATTTCATTTCGTTTCGTTTCGTTTCCTTTCTTTACTTTTTTTTTTGTCATGGAAAATAATCTACAACAATATATACGGTACTTACGCATACATTTATATATCATAAAACGTTTGGCTGCCTCGATGTATTCAACATCGTGAAATGCATCGTCGTACTTCACGCGAATATTTTTCGCACGATTGCATAATGCATTTGCAAAAATCCTTCTTCTCGCAAATATATACCGACGGAATCATATAATATTTGTATATATTTTCTTTTCTTCGTTTAACCATTCGCGATCGATGTTTCACGTTCTTTTTGAATCATTCGACGAATATTTCTTCTTCTTCTTCTTCTTATTTTTAAAAAGAATGTAAAGAAAAATTGAAAAAAAAAAAAATAATAATAATATCACTCGTTCTCTTATCTTATTTAAAATAAAAATCCCATACATCTTTTATCTCTTCATTCTCTTTCTTATTCTCTTTTGAAAGTCGTACGAACGAGAAGAAGGAAAAGGTACAAGCATAGCCAACGTGGTTCCGTTATCCGCGGTAAATACACGGCTGGCCATCCTGTACGTTTTACCTCCGGTGAAAATAAACGATAACCACTCGAGAGCCCTGTACAATTCCCCCTCTTGCTTCACATGCCGATAACCTGGATCCGCGTAGCTTGTGCGTGATCGTAGAATCGATCTAGATCGTTTAGATTGCTCAGTGTAAGAGAAAGAGACAAACATTTATTCTAACCTAAGAGAGATCATCTTTTATAATTGATTATTATCATTACGTATTCATTCTCAATTCTTTTATCATATATTTATTTATAATACGAACGATATATGTTCATTCTTTATTATATATTACACCTTTTTCTCTTTTTTTTATGAAGTTATACATCTTTTGGCATGTTTTGGAAAGTGAAGTTAGATGCGACCGAAAAATCAACACCACGAAGTTATCGATATTTACAATGCGCGGGAAAATTGAAGTTATTTTTACAGGTTATTGAGGTTATGTTCGTTTTGATACGCTAAAGAAGTATAACTACATAAGTACACACATCAGTCTTGTTTTATTACTTAAGTTTATATTCTTACGTTGAAAAATATTTCTGTATCAACATTTACAATCGTATATTTCAATTGTAAATTTTCATTGATATTGAAATAATATTTGAAAATCTTATGGATTAGAGTCGAAGGATTATGATCTCACGAAAAAAAAAAAAAAGGGATGTTGACATTGAACAGCAGCTGCGTGGCGTTGCATTAAGAAGAAAAAAAAAAAAAAGAACTTTATAATCGTTGCACAATCACATTCTCTTTCAATTCAGTATAAGTATCATAAGATATTTTCTATGCTCTCAGAGATATTATAATATATTCGAATAACGAGTTTGTGCATCGTTTGAGATCATTGCAAGGGAGGGTGCTGTTCTATCGAAAGAGAAAAAGAAAAACAGAAAGAAAGAGAAAGAGAGAGGGGGAAATCGTGAGAAAAGAAAGGAAAATAAAAGGGTAGACAACTAACAGAGTTGAAACTCCAAGAAGAACGGGGTTGGAGAGGGTAAAACAGCGTAGAGAAGAAGAAAGAAGTGATGGGGGGTTGAATTAGGTGTCCAACAGTGCGACTGTGTTTGAATGAATAATTTCTATCGATCGTGAAATCTGTCTCGACGTTTCTTTCTCATTTCTTTTTTTTCTAGTAGTACTCTTTCTCTCTTTCCTTTTCTTTTTCTCTTGTCTCGAACGTTCGAATTGAAAAGAAACGGTTTAGAACAACCTAACGTCATCGTCGACTATAGAAATGACCCTGAAGTAATGAAACTTCTCGAGAAACATGTGAACGTTGGTATATATATATATATATATATATATATATATATATGGTGGTTCTACATAACTTATCCTTTGCTATATAATAATTTCGACTAATTTATATTCATTTCATTGATTGTTATATACAAAATTATTGTATTAACAATAAGAACAAAAACAATTGATTTAAATTTAATTTATCTTCATTAATCTAGTGTAATTATAATTACATTTTTTTAATATGAAAATTGTAGATTAAGAAGTACAATGTTTATTATTGTTTACTATTAAGAATCAGGCTAGCAAAACCTACCCCCTCAGTAAAAACATTACTAGTAAATACACTTCTAGAAATAGCAATAAAAAAAGCTATTATAACAGAACAAAGTCTTAATAAAAAGAGGAATAAGAAGAACAGTTTGTTATTGTATATAGTTTTTGTTTTTTAAAACGAACGGTATTATTATTTTTTATTATTATTATTTAAAGTAAAAGTTAATGGGGACACACACATACATATATATATATATATATATAAACTGTGGGTTTTCTTCATGACACAAGTAAGTCTTCTTTAGTCAGCGTAAACACGTGCTCTTAACTCGAATGTCGAGAACGTTATAAAACGGATTATAGTTGGTCTGTTCGAATGGGACACGATTTGGCACATAACCATATCTCTTTGGCAACTAACTCGGACAAGGATTCTCGAGAGATCTGTTCTACCTGTGTGTGAGTTGAATTATCCTGACCACTCCTGCTCTGTTCTCCTTTATTTCGTATTATTGTGTCTTAAAATAGAATCTCGTATCTTTTTATTCTTTTTTTCTCTCTCTCTCTCTCTTTCTTTTTTTTTCTTTTTTATTATTATTATTATTTTTAGGTCACAGCATGCATCGTATAACAGACACTATATTAATTATGTTTCATTTAGATAATTAATAGAATAAGAAATAATATATGAATAGAAAAATATGATCGAATTGTGTTTATGAAGTTTTTTAATTTTTTTTTTTCTTATATAGAATATTTATTAATTTGATTAGAAAATATTAATTATAAAAACAAATAAGGAAAATAAATGACTTCTAATTTTTTCTTTTTGTACGTTTAGTTAGTAAACCATTTAAGTATGTAATTTATTTTGTTTTAACCCATTATGGTATCTCGATGTCCTCCGTACGAGATAGATCTTGCGTCATCGAGAACAGGTTGCCAATTACGTCATTTTTCACATTCCCGTATCGTCCAGACTGCGAATATTTCTTTGGTATCTTTGATAGTAGTAGGAGATAGACCATAAACTCTAAAAATAATACTTTACGTATTTGTCAGTGAATCAAGGACGATTCTATCTCCATATCAAAAGAAAAAGAATATAATCAATCGATTGATATATATACAGGATTTTGAAAAAAATACCCAAAAAAAAATATATATTTTTCCAATGAAATTAATTTTCAATTTTAGATTTTCTAATGCAAGATTAGATTATATTATATTACTAACAAAGTTATAATATAAATTTCACGCTAGTTCTACAATAGTTGCGTGTATAGTTAATTGAAACAATTAATATCAATACGTTTCCATCCATGACGCTTTACACGTAACACCCACACACACACACACACACACCAATTGTTTTATCAACTTTCTCCTCGTCGCTGATTTTTTTCTTTCCTCGGTTGGTTAACATTTTTTTTTTTCTTTTTTTTTTGAATGCAGGTTGAAAGCGTAAACAATTTTGTATACTTAACCTGTTTGAAAATAGAAATGAATACTATGGAATAAGATTTGTGTCAGTAATTACGTAGCCTAACAACGTTGAGTGTGGGGGGGGGAGGGGGGTGGGGGGGGGAAGTGAAAAATAATATATACCTTTTTTTATTTTCTACATGTAATTCACACAATTTAAAAGGAAGCAACGTTACACACATGGCGATAGAAATTAATTTTGATTAAATTTTTATTCGAATGAATTGTCCCCAAAAAAATTGCACATAAATATTATTAATTATCTTAATATTATATATATATATATATATATGCGAAAGTATTTTGAAAGTATGATGAAATAATAATTAACATATAAAATATATATTAGGTTTAATTCTTTTGAAATAAATATTTTTGAAGGGGGTTTTCGGCCACACACGATGAATTCAAATCCCTTTTATTTTTTGTGTCTATGGGAAATGAATTCTTCAATGGTCCATTTTAAAACAACGTTTATTGATTTTTCTATCTTTCATACAAAAAATATGAGATCGTAGAAATTCATTTTCAATGAAAAATCGTCTCATTTTAAGAGGCTTCACAAACCCTTTATCCACTTCACATAGACCAATATGGTATCTTCTCTTGTGCGTACTCATACGAGTATCATCACTACTCGCTTACCAACGACTCAGTAGTTTTCTACATAGACCAAGTAGATCGATGCAAGTTAAGAGTACTCAACTATGACGGAAACTCAACAATAATATATACTACCGTTAGAATAATGTCGGACTCATCGTTGACTCGTACCACCAACTTTACTCGTGTTTATCCCATACTTTGTTTGCCTTGAAATACATACAAACATACATACATACGTGCAAACGTAAATGTAACTTTTTTTTCCCTGTTGTCTGATTGTCAGACTAATTAGAAAGAAAAAAAAAGAGAAGTAGAAAATAATTATAAATCTTTTTAATCACATTTCTTTTTTTTTCTCTCTGTTCTAATTCCATCTAAAATGTAAGATTTTGTATTTATGTATGAGAAGAAAACAAATAATATTGCGAATAGAAATTAATGAAAATAATTAACAACTCGAGGATTGTGATACGAAAATTCTTACAATCGTTCTAAAAGTAAAATACATCTCTCTCTGTTTCTCTCTCTTTGTCTCATCATTTCGATGTAAAAATGTCGACGAATTCATCGAATACGTTATCTACATGGGAATGGACGAAAGAACGGGAAAAAAAAAAGAGAAATAGAAACTGTTCGGAGAAAAAAATGTGCAAGAAAGCTTTCACGTCAGGAACAATTTGAAGACAGCTAACGGGCAGATATAAAAAAAAAGAAAAAAAGCACAACTCTTAGTCTCACATTTTGTAAGGACGAAAAGAGTACTCGTAGGAACGTTCCCTGAAGCTCGTTGAAAATGCATAATAGTAAAGTAGTAGTATAGTAAAGTATAGTAAAGTATAGAATAGTATAGTATAGTCTATAGAAACTTTTTTCAAGAAAAGCTATATATATATATATATACCTAAACGCGCTTTTCTACGATTTACCACGAGAATCCTCCATCCGTCATGTGTGTCCGTTCTTACAAAGCCGGTTGCTGACCGTGTTGAAGAACGCATAGTAGGTGCATACGCACGTACGAACGAACGAAGAATACGATTGAATGAAGTAGACGGACATTTAATTGTGAAGAGGCGTAGGAAGAGGTACTGAAAGAGGAACAGAATATAAACGTGAACTAGGTGGCCAAGTGTTTCGTCGTCATCATCGTCGTCATAAGATCTGTGTATGTACGTATATGCATTTATGTATATAAGCCCGTATATTTGTCTGTATGTGAATGTGTGTGTCTGTGTCTGTGTATATGGGGAAATTGTGTTCGTCTTCTCCGATCCCTCTTATTCTCATAACATCAACGATTACCCGGAGCGACGTAATCACTCTTAGACCATATCCCGTTCTTTTATTTTCTACTTTTAACACGGCTTTGTTCTCTGTGTTAAAGCAGTAGACTCTATATATACTAAATAATGGTGTAACATTTTATTCCAATTATATTCAAATCAAACTCATATATATTTTAATTGTATATAGAAATTATCTTTTATTTTATTTTATTTTATTTTGAAGTTATAGTTATTTTGGCGCGTTTTGAAAAGTGAAGTTAGATGCGATCGAAAAATCAACACTACGAAGTTGTCGATATTTATAAAATGCGCGGGAAAATTGAAGTTATTTTTATAGGTTATTGAGGTTATGTTCGTTTTGATACGATAAAGAAGTATAACTTTTTACGTGCGTACATAAATACACTTCTTATAAATAATACTTTTTTATAATTACTTTTTTATAAAAAATAAAAAGAGTAAAGAGTTTAATTAAACGTTTTATTTTAATTATTTCTCTACGTGAGTTTTTCTTTTTTTTCTTTTTATTATTATTATTATTATTATTATTTTGTAATATATTATATATAATTGGTGTGTATAAAATTTGTGTTATAATTTGTAAGTAATTTATAAATATTTTTAGATTAGTAGTTTTATTCGCGATTGAATATTTAAGTTTTTTTTTTGTTTTTTTTTTCTTAATCTCAACGCCCTTATATAAAAAATATTCTCTATGTGGAAATAGTTGTGTTTATTTTGAAAAATTTATTTTTACTAAATTGGCAATAGAAAATGAATATGCAATTTGTATGGTTGATAAATGAGGATGCATCGCTATTATCCTGTCGTAAACAACTCGGATGTTTCGGATTGATTATACATAACACGTTGTGTATTTGAGAACTAGCTAGATAGATGGATAGATCATTAGATGAGAAATAGATAGATAGAGAGGAAGAGAGAGAGAGAAACAAGATTCATTGATTTGATAATATTCACATCTTTACGAACGTAACAAAGTACGGACGCGTGTTTACCTTGGCATATATTTATTACACTACGACAACGACGTTAAAACGTGCAGCATCTTCCACGTTCATAGATTTACAAGTTCCTCTTCATTAATAGATAACATAGTATCTAAATAAGTATATATATATATATATACAAGTCTATATAAACTGTTCCCATTAATCCTATTGTAAGTGTTTCAAAAAAGTAAAACAAAAAAGCAGAAAACAAATATTAAAAATTGTATCTTCTCTTAAAAAACGATTAATTATTTTTGTATTATTATTATTATTATTATAATTATTATTTTTTTCTTTCTTTTTATGATATTATATAGTTTCGCAATATGCTTTACCGTGGATCATTCAATATACATTTATGTGTTCTTTGAAATGATAATATTCTTTTTTAAAATCCAATGAGAATTATCACGGTAATTACACTTCGAGCAAACACTTGAAGAATATTCTACGGTACGAATAAAAATGAAATGAAAAAGTTCTTTTTTTTTTTTTTTTTTTTTTTTAACTTTTACCCCTTCGAGACATTATTAAATTAAATACGAAATCGATCCACTCCGCTGTTAACATTACGAGAAGTGGTTTTTCGTTAGTTTCAATCCTTTCTTTTCCGAATCTACACATGATTAAAGTAACGCAGACGTTCGTTAATGAATTATAATACAGTTTTAATTACCAGACATTTCTTTTTTCTTTTTTTTTTTTTTTTTATGTCTGAGAAATAAAATGTAGAAATAATATTTGTCAATTTGTTAATAACACGATAATATAATCGATTTATTCGTTGATTTATCATTTAAGTGCTAATAATTATATTGTATCATATATAGAGTATTAATATATTTAATGATAATGAGATCATTTATGATGATGACTTTATAATAACAGACAGGAAGGAAACGTTCCTTGTTAAGGTTAACGATCGAAGATCGATCGATATCACGTCACGATTTCCTTTGCCTTCTTAAAGACAACAATCTTATCTTCTTGGCGTTCGTCTTTTGATCGGTACCTTTCATGTCTCTTGTATGCACCCGTGCTAGGTGAAAACGTCTTCCTGTCTTGATTACAATCCATTGAATACGCGATCCGCATGACAGGTTCGTTCACTCTAACATTTTTTTTCTTAGTTTGGTATCGTCAAAGGTATAGACCCCTTAGAGAAATATATAAATCATCCTTTTGATGTTCACATAAAGAATATATACTTTTAATCTTCAGATAAATTCTTTTCAAATAAATATAAATATTATGTACATCTTTTTTATATTTTTTAGTAAAGCAAAATCAATCGTCGTTTCAACATCACGAAAATATGCAGAACATTTCTTTTAAGAATTCTTCCGTCAAACTGGGTTTACAGCGCATTTGTAAATGGCGTAAGATATAAACACACATATTCTCATTATTTTAATATAATAATATTTTATATTTTGTTTTTTTTTTTTTTTTATAGAATATCGTATATTCATTATTGTTTATAGATAATATTGTAGAATGTGAATGATTAAAAATTATTAAATACAAGTATGTATATATTTGTGTGTTATATAATTTAGGCTGATATAATATAATTATTTATACAAAATATATATTAATTTTTATTCCTGCAGATATGCAACACTCCATGCATGTCGATATGTTGCTTGCGAGCGTCATCTATCAATATGAAACATTCCCTCAAAGTATGCAACTACAACTTACAGATATGTACGACGATATTGCATACCCTGGGGAGATGTTTTATACTGATAGATGGCGCTCGCAAGCAACATACCGACATATTATAAAGTGTTGCATATTTTCAGGCGCGATATTTAATAATTTATAAAATGGAAGTAATTTAAGTAAACACATAATTGATTAATAAATTAAATTGAAATTGAATTGAAAATGTTGTTGTCAACGTTAACAGCTCCTCATAAGACTTTTAATGATATTAAAATCTAATTAAAAGAAAAGCTGAAAATACTCTTTTAATTTATAAAATGATGAAATGTAAATTTCAGGTTTATGAGAAAACAAACAAAGTGGACGGAATCAGAAGAAATAAGTCTGGCTTAGTGTCGCCGACCCCGAATCGTCGAATATCCGTAAATATTTGCTCGCTGGAAAAAAGTTAAGTAAGTCTAACCGTCAGCAATGGCAACGACAGCGTCAACCGAAGGGATGGAGTTACCAAAAGATATCCCTCAGAAAAGATTCATCAACACGAATCTGATATCTTTGAAATGTCTGTTATTCCTCTTTTTTGGAGGTACGCCTTCGAGTTTTAATTTTAATTTATTTTTATAAAAATATAGATCATTCGGGATCTAAACGATTTAATTTATAAAAATGAAGTTCATCATTGAATATCTATAATTATATTTTTTTTGTTTACATTATTAATATTAATAATATTAATGTATGTAATATATAAAAAAGAAATAATGTAAAGAATATAATATTTATATTTACAACAGGATTAGGCAGTCTCTTTCCATTTCTTCCGCTGCACATGCAAGAAATGGGATTGAGCATAGAAGAGATACGACTGATCTCGATGATTTCGCCAATCGTAGCACTTCTTGGACCACTTGTCGCCGGTCCGATAGCAGATAAACTCGCAGGACATCAAGGAAAAAATGAAAAATCATCGACTGGTCGCTACTTAAGAGTAATGATAGCTATTTGTTGCGTCCTCTCAGCCGTCTTCTACGCAGCCTTGCTGCTCTTGCCGTCCGTTACCAAAACGGAATCATCAACAGTCACGGACAAAATTGAAACACCTAACAATCCAGGTTTAAAATTCAGTTGCGACGAAAATGGTGCGATAGTACAGCAAGAGAGATGCAAGGAAGATATGGGTTGTCATCGTTGGTCTGACGAGGACAAGATAGGTGCATTGCTTTTAGAGAACTGTAATTACGCTTGTTATCCGATCGCGACGAAACGATGGCAATCATCGGAATTCGAGGAAGAATCCACGTCTGATCGGACTGTTGAGCCAGAAATCGATGAAGAAGGTAGTGCTGATGTTACCGTTACTCCTTTAGATATTGGAGGGGATTACGATGTTCAGGTAGGATTACTTATCGGCAGATCAAAATCTTACTACTTTTTTTATAGAATATAGAATGATGGAGCCAAATGATTTTCTCTCTCTTTTTATCTTTCATTTTTGTAATATATTTATAGTACATTATTTAATTTTTTTTGGGTAGGATTTAGAAGGGTCCAAAAAAATCCGTAGATTTATAATACCCGCAAACGAACCACCACACCTTTGTTTCAAAGACGGCGACAACGTGGTTTGCCACGTGTACACAGAGTATTCCGAAGATTTATCATTAAACATTAGTTTAAAACAAGCTATTAATGCGGAAGATAGAGAAGCTTGGTGCGCGTATCCTATTACGGAATACTTCGATTGTCGTATACCACCTGAACTTGAGACGAGAATGATTGAATACAATAAAACTTGTGCGATAGAATGCGACTTAAAGGATCCTTACGTTACTCCTGGTATGAAAATTTAAACATCAGATTGTATCTAACTATAACTAAAATAATATATTGTATAAACATTTCGCTTGTTAAATTAGGTAGCATATTAGCTGAGAGTCAATGCTCACAACCGTCCGGGCTCGCTGAGTTAACATTTTGGACTTATTTAGTAATTCGATCGATTGCTGATATTTTTCCAACAACTGCTGTAGCCTTAGTCGATGCAGCAATTGTGATAGCAACTCGAGAAACTTCTTCAGGTCGCGGAGACGTTGGTCGACAATTAGCATTCGGTTCTCTTGGATTTGCCATTTTCGGTCCACTCACTGGTTATCTTAGTAATCTTTTACAAGGTGCTAATAGGATTTATTATCTACCAATCTTAATTCACGCCGGACTGATGCTTCTCGTAGCAATAGTTGCTTTAGCAGCGAATAGTATGCCACTTAGTCCACCCGAATGGTGGTGGCATACTAGAAGTGGAATGTTAGCCTTGCCTTTAAGCGCTATCAAAAGATATGGTAGCGAGACTGCTGCTCTTGTCATTGTCCTTGTTGTAATGGGTATCTTCTGGAGTGCTATGGACAGTTATTTACCTCTGTGAGTCAAAATTATTTTCATTTTTGTTAATGTTCATTCTTAAGAAACTTGAAATTTTGAATTTATTTCATAGATATCTCCAAAGGCTAGGAGGTGATGGATTATCTATTGGTGTTGCTATGACTGTTGGAGCAGTCCCTGCATTTCTATTTCTTTGGAAGTCAGAACATCTCGTTGATTACTGTGGTCATAGTAATTTACTCATCACTGCCTTTACTGTTTATATTATTAGGTAAGTAGGTGAGTCTATATTTTCTTCTTGGAACTTAATCGAACAAAATCTTTTTTAAATAATTCCGTATTATTAGAAAAATAATCTTTTTATTCCTGTTTATATTTATCTTCAATTTGTTTCTTTTCTAGATTTACTGGACTGAGTTTTGTCGGAGGACCATGGTGGTCATTAATTTCCGAAGGTTTAGAAGTATTCACATTAGGTATCATGTGGGTTACTGCAATTCTTTACTTGAGACATCTCGTCCCTCGTCATTTAACAGTAACTGCTCAAGCTTTGCCTGTGATTGCTCACTTTTGCATTGGTAGGTGTATTCATATATGTGGTCTTTTAAAAAAAAGTTAAGGGAAGTTAGTTCTCTTTTTATTGGGCACTCTATCGATTTCCGATAGTCTTGACAAAGTTTTTAATGGCACTTCTCAAAAGAACTTTCTCGTATTCTTGTCTGCTTTTTAATTTTTTTTTATTATCAATATCATCTCACTTTAAGAAATAGAAACTTCAGAAGAAATAAAATATTAATAATAACTAAGTAAACATTTATTACATATATACATAACATTTATAATAATAAATATTTATTTAGTTGTTTGTGCATTTGTTATTATTATTATTATTATTATTATAATTATATAATAACATATAGAAAATGTAAAATGTACATAATTTACGTAGGTCGATGCATCGGTGCTGTAATTGGAGCTTACATAAATATCGAAAATGCTAGTGCAGTTGATTCGTTGAGATTTGTATTCCGTTGCATGGCCGTTGCTGCAGCAATCGTAGCTGCATCGTACTTTATACTTTATCACGGGTTATTAAAACCACGATGCCATGCTCAAACTGTTCAAGGCCCAAGACAACCGCCCTCAATTGTATTAGGTAAATATATCATTTATTAAATAATATTACATATAATATATACATTTAAAAATATAATCAAATTTAATTCAATAATATTCTAATTTTTATTTTATTTGTTTACCAAGCAGCCATGAATGGAAATGGTAATTATACACCATTGAGGGTTTATCATAATGGTATGGGTAGAAAAGGTCAATTCAGATATTAAATACTGTGTAAAAATATTATTATTATTACTATTATTATTATTACTATTTTTGTTCATACCATTGAAAATCTCTTCAATCACTCATACACAATATTTACAAAAAAAAAGACATCTAATAGTAATGATTGTTTGAGTTCCAAGTATAAAAAAAGGAAGTACGCTGTGACTAAACTAAAAAAACGTATTTGTTAAATACGATTAAAGTAACTATATATATATATAACATATAACATATAAC